CTTGCTCCTGGGGGCAGGTGGGGGTGGAATGAGGAGAGGCAAAAGCAGATTCTCGGCAGAGATCTGCAGGCGTGAATGCAATCAGGCCTGGTATCTGCACCCTCCCTATTCCCCCACATCCTAAAAAGGAGGCCAGAGCCCCTGGACAGAAGTGTCCCCCACCCCCACCTCTGGTGATTAACAGGGGCCTGTGCAGGGAACAGGAATTCAAAGCTCTTAGGTCAGAAGTTAACTATTTCCAATCTTGCTCTAGTTTAGCTGGGGCCAGCAGACTCCAGATCTCTTTTCCTCTCCCACCCTGCTACCTAAAGGGTCAGCACACTTAAGGGATCAGACCTGGGTTCAAATTCTGACTCTACAATTTATTAGCTGGGTGACCCTGGATAAGTTACAAAGTTACAAGTCTAGGTTTCCTGTCCAGTTAAATGGGGCCAATCCCACCCACCCCATGGGGCTTTTAGGAGGATTAAAGGGGCTTATTACAAAAAGAACACAGTGTGATTCTGGAATTCAGTAAGCTCTCAACAAATGGTATTTAGGTGGTGGTAGTTGCGTAAAGCCCTTCCTTGCCCTCTCTACCACCTGGGTTGGCAATTCTGGCAACTAAATTAAATTAAAGTCAACTGAGGCACAGGACATCCTCCAGTCTGAGAACAATCAGGAAAGGGTGGCTTGAGAAGGGATGCCAAAGGTGGGGCCCAGTGTCCCACTCTCCAGAGAAGACTTCAGAGATGCTGGCCTTAGGGGTGCACGGGGGACTTCAGCTGTATCTCTGGCACTGAACACCTTGCTGCTTCTGTTTTGGACTAAGACAAATTCCAAGCAGGGCTGGACCCTGCCTACTTCTCATTTGGCTCTCCCCACCTTACACTCCATGATCCAGTCGGATTAAGTGTATTTAAATTCCTGAAACCCATCATGCTGCTGGCTGCTGGCTGGCCACATCGGTCCCCACACCTCTCATGCCCCAACCACCTCGCCTAATTCTCTAGAGCTCAGCTTCCGACTGGGATGTCACTTCCTCCAGGTCCCTCTAAGAAGAGGTCAGGAACCCTTCCTATGTGACTAGTTTTTCTCGCCCACCTCCCACTTGATCAGATATATACATATATCATACTTATTTTGTCTCTCTCCACTTGCAGGAAGGTGGTCCTTGGGGCCTGGGTGTTTTGCACAATTTGTTCACTATGTATCCCCTGTGTGTGCTCAATAGTTGTTGAATAAGGCTTCACTGTTAAAATTTCCTGCTGACTTGCTTCCTCTTCTAATTGAAAGTTCACTGAAGTTAAGGAGCTGCTTACCTCTGAATATCTAGTACCCAGTAGCTACTGGGACATTTGTTGGCCTGAATGACCATTACCACTTGGACTTGGAGCTCAGATACCTCAGAAGCAGATTTATGGGGCACTCTGGAATATCCTGGGCTATGGTCTTTACTGCCCCAGTAACCTCTGAGTTCCTTCACCTCATTTTTACAGCCAAGTGGAGGTTATCACCACCTGCTTTGCAAGGCAGTCACAAGCATAAAAAATTACTAACATTAGACTTAAGCTTCCCAAGGGCAGGGGGTTTGATTTGTTCATTGTGTTAGCTGCAGTTCTAGAACAGCACCTGATACATGCAGATGCTAAATATGTTGGCTGAAATAAATGTCAATAGAGGGCACAGTCTGGAGTAGGGGCTCCAAAATAAATGGCAATTTTTATATAAAAAGCTGAAATAAAAACTTGATGTTAACTCATGCTCAGATTCATTACTGAACTTGGAAGTTTCCTCCCAAAGCTGAGGATGGTTAGTTTTTTAATCTTTCCCAAAAGCTGACTAAGGGTCAGGTGAACCTGCTGAGGGTCATAATGAAGTACTGGATCTGTTTTACTGTCACTAAGCTCCCCCTCTCTTGTTAGCCACTAAGGGTGGGTAGGCCACCTTAGGTCACTCACTCTTTTTTTTTTTTTT